CCATTCACAACAGCACCAAAAAGAAGAAAATACTTGGGAATAAATTTAACACAAAAAAAGTCTAAGATACACTGCAAAACACTGTTGAAAGAAATTAGAAGACCAACATAGGGTGGAAAGATACCTCATGTTCATGAATCAGAAGACTTAATATTGCTAAGATGGCAATACTCCTAGTCTACAGATTCAAACATCCTCTAGCAAATCTTTGTTGCCTTTTTTTGTTAAATTGACAACCTTATTCCAAAATTGAAGTGAAAATGCAAGGAACCCAGAATAACCAAAACAATCTTGAAAAATATAACAAAGTTGGAAGACTTCTGATTTCAAAACTTACTACAAAGTTGCAATAATCAACACACAGTGGCACTAGCGTATGGAAAGACATATAGAACAATGGAATAGAACTGCATATTCAGAAATAAACCCTGATATTTACAGTCATTTTATTTTTGACAACAGTACCAAGAAAGTTGGTACCTTTTCAACAAAGGTGCTGGGATAACTGCATAATCACAAATGAAAATAAAAATTTAAGTTCCTATCTCATATAATACCCAAAAATTAACAAAATGGATAAAAGAACTAAATCTAAGAGCTAGAACTATAAAATTCTTAGAAGAAAACACAAGAGTAAATTGTCATGACCTCAGATTAGGCAACAGTTTCTTAGATATGACAACAAAAGCACAGTAAAAAAAAGAAATATAGATAAATGGGACTTCATCAAAATGAAAAACGTTTATGCTTCAAAGAACATCATCAGGAAAGTGAAAAGCTGAATAGGAGAAAGTATTTGCAAATCATATATCTAATAAAGATTGGTATCCAGAATATACAAATGACTCTTATAACTCAACAACAAAAAGAAAAACAACACACTTTAAGAATAGGCAAAGGATAAAAAGAAAAAAAATTAAACGGGAAAGAATTTTAAAAAACAATTTATTAAAAATAAAATAAAATGAGCAAAGACATTTCTCCAAAGATATAAAATGACCAACAAGCACATAAAAAGACTTAATGTCTTTAGAAAATGCATATTAAAACCACAACAAGATACTATTTCAAACCCACTAGGATATCAATGAAAGGAAAAGAGGGAAGGAAGGAGGAAAAATAAGTATAGTAAGAAAGTGGAAAAATCAGAAAGCTTATACACTGCCAGTGGGAATATAAAATGGTAGAATTGTTTTGGAAAACAATTCAACAATTTAATTCCAATCCTAGAATTCCAATCCCAAGAGAAATGAAAACACGAGTCTACACAAAAACCTGTATAGGAATATTTTTGTCAACATTATTCACAATAGACAAAAAGTTGAAATAACCCAAATGTCCATTAACTGGTAAATAGATAAACAACAAATATCCATGCAATAGAATCTTATTCAGCAATAAAAAGAAACAAAGTACTAATATATGCTACAACATGGTTAAACTTCAAAACATGCTTAGTGAAATAAGTCAGATACAAAAGAGCATATTGTATGATTTCATGCATAAGAAATATCCAAAAAAGGCAAATCTACAGACAGAAAATAGATTGGTGGTTACCTTGGGCTACAGGTGAGAATGGATAGTTTTGGGGGGAGGGGGAGCTGAAAAGATTCTAAAATTAGATTGTGGGAATGATCACAGAACTCTATAAATGTACTAAAATTGTTATAGACTTTAAATGAGTACATTTTAAAATATGTAAATCAAATTGCGATAAAACTGTTCATTTTTTGCCCTGGCCAGTGTGGCTCAGTGGGTTGAGCATCCTCTCATACACCAAAAAGTCTCAGGTTCAATTACAGGTCATGGCACACACCTAGGTGTCGGGTTCCATCCCCGGCCCTAGATGGACGTGTTAGGAAGACAACCATTTAATGTTCTTTTCTCACATCAATGTTTCTCTCTCTCACACACACTTCCACTCTCTCTCTCTCTCTCAAATCAATGAAAAGAATATCCTCAGGTGAGGATTTTTAAAAAATTTTAATTTTTAAAAAGACATTGAAAGGTATTACAATCTTCAAAATTGAGATCAAACACAATAGATAGGATTAGAAGTTTTAAAGTCATGCAAGTCATGCAAATATAAAGGGATTTTTTTCCCTCTCCAGATATATTTTTATTGCTTTTACTTCCCTGCACAGTAGCAACTTATAAAATGTTTCACATAGCCTACCAGAACTCAATAATATATGACTAAAACAAAAAAATTAAGTCTACTAATATTAAAAGAGGTTTTCCAAGAATATACTAACAATATTCCTCCACATTATACTTAATTAGAAGACCTAATTTTCCTCATCTGTGAAATAAGGCCAATACTATTTATTTCTCACAAACTTGTGAAAATTAAATGAGATAATGTAGGCTTAACCAAATTCCTGGCATGTAATAATAAACACTCAATAGATGTTAGCTGCCATAATTATAAATAGAGAGTATTCAGATCCAGCCGGAGAATGGATCTGTACTCCATTATTCATAAGTCAAGACGAATAATTAGTGGAGTAGAAAGAATAGTGACTTGATAAGAATATTGTATTACCAGAGAAGTAAGTAAGTCCATGAGTACAAATTCTATAAGCTCGTTGGTGTTGAAAATGAGATCAACAGAGGAAAAAAAATTCCTGGAGAATAAGCAAGCCAAACTAGTTCTTGTCTAAAAAAAGTTAAGAATAAAAGCTCCATAACCTTCAGTAAAGGTAGAGAAAAACTAGTTTAAAGTAGAGAGAGGGCCCTGGCCGGTCTTGCTCAGTGGTTAGAGCGTTGGCCCACGGACCAGAGAGTCCCAGGTTCAGTTCCCACTAAGGGCACGTACCTCGGTTGCAGTTTGTCCCCAGACCTGGTAGGGGTTGTGTGGGTGGTTGAGGCTGTGTGGGTGGCAGCCAGTCAATGTGTCTCTCTCACATTGATGTTTCTCTCTCTCTCTTCCTCCCTCTCTCCCTCCCACTCTATCTGAATCTGAAGATAAATGGAATAATGTCCTCGAGTGAGGATAACAAAAATAAAAAAATAAAGTACAGAAAGGTACACCCTCCTAAATTTATGCCACCAGGATTTGGTCAGGTACTCTCTACCATAATTAGAGATTATTCTTTCAAAATTCCTCTTTAAATATGCAAGCACCGCCCTGGCCAGTTTGGCTCAGCAGTCAGAGCATCAGCCTGTGGACCAAAGGGTTGAGGGTTCGTGCCCAGTCAAGGGCATGTACCTAGGTTGCAGGTTTGCTCTCCAGTCTGCATTGGGGTCAGGAGAGAGGCAACCAATCAATGTCTCTCTCTCACATCGATGTTTCTCTCTCTCCTTCGCCTCTCTCTCTCTCCCTCCCTCTCTTTCTTCCACTCTATCTAGAAAATCAATAGAAAAATATCCTTAGGTGAGGATTAACAACAACAAAAATTAAATATGCAAGCACATTTCCTCACAGATACAATACAGAAGCATCATATGAGCATTTTAACTTTGTGAAACTGAACTAATGTAATATAGCTACAAATTGTGAAATAATACAAAGCCTCCAAATTTAAAAAATTTGTCAGTAATCACATTTGTATTATTCCAAAACTGCCTAGTTGAGTAAACTATAAAAATGCTTACACTATTGCCTAGTGGTTGAATCACTTTGACCAATTAAAAGAACCATATACCCTCCTTTGTTAGAACCATCAAAAACACTGATATTTCTGTTTTAAAAACATGGTGATCTTGGTCACTGCTGTGCTTTTAGTTCAATATCTACTGCTATTAAATTTTTAAATATTTTTTTACCCTCTAATAATGTCATTGAATGAACATCATAGTGCTAATGCAGATAATATGTGTGAAAATCGATAGCTTTGGAACATAAGCTAGACATGGTAAATGGTATAAGAAAAGAGAAACAATTGCCACTTATGCTGGGCTGATAATTTAGGAAAGAACAAACTGAAAAATATTACAGATAATGCCAGAAAATTAAAAGGCAATATTAAAGAAATAACAGATTGATATCCTCAAAGATCCTGTTCCCACCACTTAAAAAGTACACTTATGGGAAAATGAGACTTGAACGATATAAATTTTGAAGTATGCAAAGTTTTTAGGCTATCTCTCCCATAAAATAAAACAACCTTGTTCATGATAGCTCTCAGAAAATGTTGACTATTTTCATTTAAAAAGGATTCCTCAACTTCTAGTATTCCATCTCTCAAGTCAAATATGACTTTTGACATGATCATAATAATCTTTGAAGAAACCAAGTCTATAAATTGAGTTCATGGTTACTCTGAGGCTCAAAGCAAAATCATTGCATATTCACCATGACAATTTATCCCTTATATGGTAGAGGGTCAGGTGGTATATAAACTTCTCTGGAGTCACCAATATGTTTTTATATTTCCTATAGACAGGGGAGAATAAGTAGTAGCTTATAGAGTACTCTGACATAAATTCAAGAACTCCAATTAGTCTTCTAATTTGTGTGATCTCCCAACAATTGTAAATTTTACCTTGCTATTATCATTTTGTTATTCATTTGCTATTCCAAAAAAGAAAATCCAATATTCTTTTGTAAAATAACAACTTTCTAATCATTTACTGATGTCCAACCCTGAAATGTTCTAAGTTCCTTCTGATAATAATGGCAATCTGAATCCTCCATATATTTAATTCCAGTATATCTGTATTTCATTAATACTATGACTATAGGACCACAGTTGTTAAATGGAGCCTCTTTTTCACTGCAGAGTACAAATGATAAACCAAGAATTATAATCAGTCTATATGTAACTTTTGCATTATCAGCCAAAGCTTATCAAATTATTCCAAATGCACAAATACAAGGAGTTAAGAGAAGGAGTTAGAATCACAGAAAGATAGCTTGTAAGGAACCTCAGAGGCCACTGAATTTAATCCTTATATTTTAAAGGTTGCTTTAATTGAGACCCAAAGAGAACAAATCCATCACTCATGATCACACTACATGTATAAGCCCATCCTAGTCATATACACATGTATCTTACCTTTCTGATGACGTCTTAGAAGTGACAGGATGCCCACGAACACCTTTTTTACTTTTATGGTCTAGAGAAAGAACCTTGTTTCTTAGGCTTCTTTGCCACTAGGGGAAAAATGGAATTTTAATAATAAATATAGCACTATGATAATAAATAGGCACTTAAAACTTTGTTTTATTTAGAAATTCAAAATAAACAGTCAAATTCATAGTAGTGCACAGAGGAGGGAAAAAAATACAACCTATGAAACATTGGCTCTTTTGTTAGTGTAGAAATATAAATCCACCAAAAAATAGTAGGAATAAATTTTAAAATTTCAAGGTAACTTTAGTTAGGAAATCAACATTTTGAGATTCTAAAGCTTACATAACTATAATTTTTACTGTATCTAAAGGAAATAATAAAAAGTATTACATACAAAGATAAATACTGCCTGTGATTAACTGAGTTTATAATATTCAGAAGGGATTATAGTTGGTCTCCTATGAATTGCTGCATGGAAAATTTTAGGAAAAAGTTGACATCCTACTGACAGTTTAGATTTAATCTGACTAGAAACAAAAGTTAAAATTGATTTATTTAATATACAGTGTGGCCCTGGCCAGTTTGGCTCAGTGGTAGAGCGTCAGCCTGCGGTCCAGAGAGACCCGTGTTCGGTTCCTGCTAAGGGCATGTACCTCAGTTGCAGTTTGTCCCCGGCCCTGGTTGGGTCGTGCGGGTGGCAACCATTCGATGTGTCCCTTTCACATCGATGTTTCTCTCTCTCTCTCCCTCCCCACTCTATCTGAACAAAAAAAAAAAAATGGAGAAGTCTTCGAGTGAAGATAAAAAAAAATCAGTAATATACAGTGTGAATGTAGACAAGTAAATTATTTATCTTATTTCTATGCATTAATCTCCTATTTGAAAATAAGTGTAATAGTAGATATCTCACAAGGATGTATGATGATTATATACATAGTAAATTTAAGACACTGTCTTCCTTGAAGAGATATTTGTACAGTCATGGTCATAACAGCATTGTTCACAATAGTTAAAAGGTAGAAGCAAATCATGTCCATCAATGGATGAATGGATAAACAAAGCGTGGTATATACATACAATGCAATATTATCTGCCCTTGAAAAGGAAGGCAATACTGACACATTATATCACGAATAAACCTTGACAACTATGAAATAATAGCAAAAATACATTTTGGGCTCTGCCACCAGTTCTGGCACAGAGCTCCTAAAATTCTTGTAAATTGCCTAAGTGATAAAAGAACTACATAGTACATGTCAGCAACAACGTGACTTTTTTCCCAATATTTTCAATTCATGGTTGGTTGAATCTACAGATATGGAACCCACATATATGGAGGACAAATTATATATAAACAACAAAGCATAGAACAATATGTATTTCATGATCCCTTTTTGCAACAATCAAAAAATAACATATGGCCCTGGCCAGTTTGGCTCAGCGGTTAGAGCGTCAGCCTGCGGTCTGGAGAGACCCGGGTTCGGTTCCCGCTAAGGGCATGTACTTCGGTTGCAGTTTGTCCCCGGCCCTGGTTGGTCGTGCGGGTGGCAGCCACTCGATGTGTCCCTTCACGTCGATGTTTCTCTCTCTCTCTCTCTCCTTCCTCTCTCTCCCTCCCACTCTTTCTGTACAAGAAATGGAAAAATATCCTCGGGTGAGGATAAAAAATAAATAAATAAATAACATATGCATTGGTGTATGCATTTATTTTTCTTGAAAAGAATGAAAGAAAACAGTGTTAATAGTGGTTCCCTTTAGGAAGAAGGAACAGAGAAGGATTCTTTATTACCTTCACCTTACACCACCTTTCTATACAGCCTAAATTTCCTAATGTTATGTACATATTTCTTCTTTTTATGTCAACAGAAGTCATATGGTCCCATTTATTCCCTTTTTTGCAACTTCCATACAAAACAAAGTAATCATTTAATAATTACATGTTTAAATAATGTTAAAGCAACTAATATGAATGACAAATCTTTCCTATGAGAATGCTATAATAAATGGTTAATTTTTCTTGTCTACAACATAAAAATACATGTAGTCAAGGTGATTTAAAATTTATTACCTCAAAATAGTACTGTTATGAACTTGAATTATGTCCTGTCCCATCAAATTTATATATTGAAGTCCTAACTGCCAGTGTGACTGTATGTGAAATGGGGCCTGTTCAGAGGTAATTAAGGCTAAATGAGGTCACAAGGGCAGGGCCCTAATCCAACAGGATTGGTGTCCTTACAACAATAGAAAGAAACACCAGGGATGTGGGGGCACAGAAAAAAGGCCATATGAGAACACAGCAAGAAGATGGCCATCTGTCATCCAAGGAGAGAGGCCTTAGGAAAACCAACCCTGTCAGCACCTCGATCTTGGACTTCCAGCCTCCAGAATTATAAGAATATAAATATCTGTTGTTTAAGGCACCCAGTCAGTGGTATTTTGTTATGTTATCAATGTGGTTGGAGATTACTAGGTCTAAGGAATTTTTATATTAAGTTTTAATAAATATTGCAAAATTGTTTCACAGAAAATTTGCACTAATTTATATTGCCACTGATGACAGCTCTGGGTGTTATCACACAGTAGGATTGTTGCCAATTTAATAGAAAGAAAAAAATTATTATTATTTTTAATCCTCACCTGAGGACATGCTTAGGAAGGGAGGAAAAGAGGGGAAGAGAGACAGAAAGAAAGAGAAACATTGATGTGAGAGAGAAATATGGATCATTGCCTTCTGTTCGTACCCTGACCAGCAATCAAACATGAAACCCAGGTATGTGCCCTGACCGGGAATCGAACCAGCAACCTTTAGATGCACAGGACAATGCTTAACCAAACTGAGCCACTCCAGCTAGGCAAAAAATACTATTTTAAGAAAATTTTGTCTCTTTGCAGTTATGTATTTTATTTCATGTTTTAGCATATTGAATTGTGGAATAACAATTATATATATTATATATAGTTGGCCCTCCATATCTGTGGGTTCCATATCCGTGGATTCAACCAACCACAAACTGAAAATATTTGAAAAAAAAATTCTATTTTTAAAAAATTGACAATGAGCTGTGCCAGGCAAGAGAAAAAAACAATACCTAAAAAGTGCTATCTTACACCTCATTCATGAGATCTCTATAATAATGCTTAATAATGATAAAACTAAAGTCCTGATGTATAATCAAAATGTCTTTTAAAAAATAGTTGTGTGACACTTTAAGATAAACCCTCTCGCCCTGGCCGGTTTGGCTCAGCGGTTAGAGCGTCCACCTGCGGTACAGAGAGACCCGGGTTCGGTTCCCGCTAAGGGCATGTACCTCGGTTGCAGTTTGTCCCCGGCCCTGGTTGGTCGTGCGGGTGGCAGCCACTCGATGTGGCCCTTTCACATCGATGTTTCCCTCTCTCTCCCTCCCACTCTGTCTGTACAAAAAATGGAAAAATGTCCTCGGATGAGGATAAAAAAAAAAAAAAAGATAAACCCTCTCAAATTTACAAAACAAGAGTAAAAGAGCAAATAATTCTAATAAGCTTAATATTCGAATAGATTTAAAATATAATTTATTTTATAATAATGAAATTTAAATTTCATGAAGAAAAATAATGCATAATAAGGTATACTTAAATTTAAACTGAAGACTTTAACCTCAAAGTATCAGTTTAATATACACCTGAAATAAACTAACTTAAAATCTAGAAATAAATAACCAAAAAAAGAAAGAAAGAAACACAAAGAACATATAAGAAAAAAAATTCAGTTTCACTAAAATATTTTAAACACACCAAATAATACAATATACTTAAAAGAACTAAGTTTTTATTTACCCCCTGCAAAGGGAGATCCCACCGTTCTGAGCTTCTGAGTTTGTACAGCGGTGATTTGACATGAACATCCTCTGATTTTGCATTTAACATCTTTGTTATCTGAAACCAGAATGAGAAAATAACGTTTAATTAAAATATAAATAAGAGATGAATCAGCTAACATAACCATTATTTTACTCTACATTAATATGTTGATATTAGTTTTAAAGACTTTTAAACTAATGCTTACTTTATAGGCAGTTAAGCCCTGGCCTGTTTGGCTCAGTGGTTAGAGCGTTGGCCGATGGACCAAAGAGTCGTGGGTTCAATTCCAACCAAGGGCATGTACCTTGGTTGCGGTTCATCCCTGGCCAACCACTCAGTGTCTCTTTCACATATATAATTTTATTTTAAAAAACCTCTCACTCTGTATAAAGATTAATAAATGAAGAATCACAATAGCTTCATAAATATTCTCTTACCTACAGTATCTTCCCCTTCTAATCTTTCAAACTTTATCCCCAGAGTTCTCTAATACACAAATATTAAATATGGCTACAATATTTAAAATATAACAATGATACCCATTACCTATAGTTTATCTATACAATCTAGGCTCTTTCACATCATGCAACTCTATACCCCAACCACATTGAGTTTACTCAACCTTCTTCAAACATGTCATGGGATTTTGTATCTCCAGAACTTTGCATGTACTGCTTCCTCAATCTAAAAAGCCCTTCTTTCTGCTTCTCCCTTGTGAAATACTTCAGATTCTGCTCAAATTATTATTTTATCCATACAACCCTCACTCCCACACCATTCCTTTCTCTGGGTATGAGTACTTGGTACATTTCTATTACATTATTTATACTAAATGTAGAATACTATATCTATTTGTCTACATATCTGTCTTCTTCTCCAGACTGTGGAAGTCCTCTTAATGAGAGGGTCCTCATTTTGTCACTTTTATATCTCCAATATGTATGGCTCAAGGTATGCTGAATAAACAAATGAATGAGTGCATCCATCTTACCACAAGTTTGAAATCATTTGTTTAGAACCTAAGTAACTTTCATATTAAGAGAAAGTTATAAATGATGGTTAAGCATCAAGTTCAGCCTAAAATATATAGCATATAATAAGCACTATGTCAACTACAATTAATAACAGTCTATAAATTGATTTCAATAAGAGTAAAGCACAAGTCAAAAGGATAGAATAAATTTGAAGAAAGTGTACCTCAACTCTTTTATTTCTTTTTTTTTTTTTTATCCTCATCAGAGGATATTTTTGCATTTATCATCAGATAGAGCAAGAGGGAAAGAGGGGGTAAGAGAGAGAGAGAAACATTGACTGGTTGCCACCCACACAACCCCAACTGGAGCCGAGAACAAACTGCAACTGAGGTGCGTGCCCTTATAGGAACCAAACCCAGGACTCTCTGGTCTGTGGGCCGACGCTCTAACCACTGAGCAAAACTAGCTAGGGCTCAACTCTTTTCTTTCACAAGCACCTCTGAGTTAATCCTCCTGGGCACTAGTAACTTCTTAATTATTTACACCTATTCTGTATAAAAAGGTACCTCTTTACCCTGGCCAGATAGCTCAGTTTGTTAGAGCATCATCCTGATACACCAAAGTTGTAGGTTCAGTCCCCAGTCAGGGTACATACAAGAAACAACCAATGAATGCACAAATAAGTGGAACAACAGATAAATGTTTCTCTCTCTAAATAAATAAATAGCCCTGGCTGGTGTGGCTCAGTAGGTTGAGCATTGTCCTATGCCCCAAGAGGTCGCTGACTCAATTCTCAGTGAAAACATATGCCTGGGTTTCAGGCTGGATTCCCAGTAGGAGGCGTGTAGGAGGCAGCCAATCAATGTTTTCTCTCTCATCAATGTTTCTCTCTCCCTCTCCCGTCCTCTCTCTCTAAAATCAATAAAAATATGTCTTATAAATAAATACCTCAAATTAAAATTTATTTTTTAAAAAGGTCTCTATAATTCTTCATCTGCAAAAGACAATGTTATCTCTAAATCAGTTATTTCCTTCATATTCTTAATTAGGGAACAGTTGCTTTTTCAGGGGGTTAAGGCAAGGGCTTCAGGCTGTTCATACCCATGAATCCTTTGTGGGTAGTTTATTTAGCCCACATTGAATACTGTGGAATATTGTATTTACCAAAGATGCCTACACCAATGATCCACATCCCACATGCTCTTCTTACAATGTAACACTGACAATGTTCCACCATCAGGTGTGGTCTATGATCCTTACCCTTGAACCTGGGAAGGCCTGTGACTTCCAAAGATAGATCACCCAAAGCAATAGAGTTTCTGCCTAGCTCTCACAGGCTTGTGTGTTTTCCCTTCCTTCCTCTCTCTCTTTTTTTTCTTCTCTGTCTCTCCATACTGTGGAGGAAATACTGTTTTCATGACATGACCACTGTCCGACCAGAGAGAGACAAGGCCAGACAGGAGACTGTTTACCACAAACCCCAACCCTTAAAGACTATCTGATCATAATCAATGTTCATTCTAACATAAATCAGCACCCCTCTCCTGCTTCCTACTATGTGCTCATTCCTGAACAGGCTGTTGTCCTGACTTGGTCAAGCATACAAAGTAATTTCCTGTACCTGGTGACATTCACATACTAGTACTTATGACTATCCCCCATTTTACCTTCTATAAATGTCACCTGTCAGGTGGCTCAGGGAACCCACTTCATCTTGTAGCCACCCAAGATGTGCCTCAAATGTAAATTTCCCTTAATAAATTCTGTGATTGCCAGATTGGAGTAGCCAGCCTCTGTCTTCAGTCTTTCCTCGCCCTCCACTTACAGAGGTAGATTTTGATTTTGAGGTTTTTTTGGGGTTTATTTTATTGATTTTAGAGAGAAAGGAAGGGAGAGGGAGAGAAAGAAAAACATCGATGAGAGAGAACATAGATTGCCCACCTCCTGCATGCCTCCACTGGGGACCGGGCCCACATTCCAGGCATGTGCCCTGACTCGGAACCAAACTGGTGACCCCTCGGTGCATGGGTCCATGCTCAACCACTGAGCCACACTGGCCAGGCAAGGTAGATTTTCATTCTTAAGACTTCCCCATGGGTCTGCATGTACCAATAGATACACAGATCTTAGGGGCCCTAAGGCAACAGGTTAAAAGATCACATGGAAAGTATAAAAAGAGACTTACGGTCAAGATGGCGGCGTAGGTAAATGCGGTATCACGTCCTCCCACAACCACATCAAAGTTACAACTAAACTACAGAACAACCATCACTCAAAACCGCTTAAAATCAAGCTGAATGGAAGTCCTACAAGTACAGAATTAAAGCAGCAGCCACATACAGACTGGAAGGAGGGGTGGAGGGGTGGAGGGGCGGAGGGGCAGAGAGGCGGAGGGGCGGAGGCGAGACGCACTGGTCTGAAACCCACATGTGGCGTATAAAAATCAGAAGGATACCTCGGCTGGCAAGGTCCTTCCTGAGGAATGAGGGGTCCCTATCCCACACCAGGTGCCCCACTCAGGGTTCCAGTGCCAGAAAGAGAAGTCCCCATAACTTCTGGCTGGAAAAACCAGCAAGAACTGAGGCTCAGGAAAGCTGAAGTGGCTAGAGCCCCAGGCAGTTCCTTAAAGGGACTCTCTCCCTCTAAGCTTGGAGGGGAGGCAGCTCGAGGGGCACGAGAGACATACAGGGAAGAACTGAGCTGTTTGGCACTGGAGCGGGGGCTTTCTCTGGGACAAACGTGCTGTCAGAGGCCTTGGTTCCTTTGGTGAGCCCTTCCCGGGGGCAGCAGACAGTCGCCAAATCTGGGACTCCAGCAACCTGGCTCACACTGGTAGCCCTGCCCTGGTGACTCCCTGAGGCCCCGCCTCACCCAACTTTCAGGCCCACCCAAGCTGTTGCCAGTTGCTTAACCATAGGATTGGCCTGTCTTGGATACTGCTTCAGGTTTTTCCTAAATTCTTTCAAATGAGCAGTATCTAGTCTCAGCTAGCCCCACACTGCTCGTTAAGTAATATACAGAAACAAACAAAGGGAGGCAGTCAAAATGAGGAGACAAAGAAACAGGTCCCAAATGAAAGTACAGATCAAAACCCCAAGAAAAGAACTAAGCAAAATGGAGATAAGCAACCTAACAGATGCTGAGTTCAAAATACTGCTTATAAGGATACTCAATGAACTCAGTGAGAACCTCAGTGAACTTAGTGAGGGTCTCAAGAGCATAAAAAAGGACCAGTCAGAAATTATGGATGCACAGTCAGAATTGAAGGAGGCATTAACTGAAATAAAGAATAATTTACACAGATTCAATAGTAGAGTACGTAAATCCAAGAAGCAAACCATCGATTTGGAATCTAAAGAAGCAAAAAACACCCAATCAGAACAGCAAAAAGAAAAAAGAATACAAAAAAATGAGGATAGTGTAAGGAGCCTCTGGGACAACTTCAAGCGTGCCAACATTCGCACCTTGGGGGTGCCAGAAGGAGAAGAGAGAGAACAAGAAATTGAAAATCTGTTTGAAACAATAATGGTAGAAAACTTCCCTAACTTGGTGAAGGAAACAGACATACAAGTCCAGGAAGCACAGACAGTCCCAAACAAGATGAACCTCAAGAGGCCCACACCAGACACATCATCATCAAAATGCAAAAGGTTCAAGACAAAGAGAGAATCTTAAAAGCAGCAAGAGAAAGGCAGCTAGTTACCTACAAGAGAGTTCCAATAAGGCTGTCAGCTGATTTCTCAAAAGAAACTTTGCAGGCCAGAAGGGAGTGGCAAGAAATATTCAGAGTGATGAAAAGCAAGAACCTACAACCAAGATTACTGTATCCTGCCAGGCTGTCATTTAGAATCGATGGCCATATAAAGACTTTCCCAGACAAGGAAAAGTGAAAGGAGTTCATCACCACCAAACTGTTATTATATGAAATGATGAAGGGTCTTTTTGAAGAAAAAGATAAAATATATGAACAAACAAAATGGCAACGAATACATATCTATCGACAATGGAATCTACAAACAAAATGAACAGGTAAACAGAAACATTCTCATAGATACAGAGAACATTTTGTTGGTTGCCAGATGGGAGAGGGGTTGGGGGAAT